TTGATTCCTTTCTACTTGTATAATGTTTATGTTATTCTTGAGTTTTTTAGTTCAATGCTTAGTATTTATTTTAAATTTTTCTTGTTTTAAGCAAGATGGTGTGTGACCATTGATATTTTTGTACTTATTCCTGCCATCTCATTTTGGTTTTTTACTTGTTATTCATTCTCATTTTTTATTCTTTTACTAACCTTCTTTATTTTTGTTGGCTTGACTGAACTTTACATTTTTTTTGTTCTTTTATAGTTCAATAATAGATACTTTATTTCTGACTTTTTGGTGGTTTCTCACAAATATTTTTATTTTTGATTATATATTTATTTTTTATTGATTTTTAAAATTAATTGGTATTAGAGAAAGGGGAAGAGAAAGAAAGAGAGAAAGAAACATCGATTGTTGTTCCACCTGTTTATGCGAACCTGCAACCTTTGCACATCGGGATGGTGCTCTAACCAACTGAACTACTCAGCCAGGACTTCGTAAAAATTTTTAATGCACCTAATTTTCTAATACCAAATGCATATTTAATCAGGCTCTATATCTTGTCCATGCTCAAGTCAAGGACTTTAGCAGGCTTTTTTCTCTTTATTTCCTTCTCCCCCTTCCTCATTCTTCCTATCCAGTGAGGATTTGATCTAGAATTAAAATTTTACATAAACACATATATATAATTTATTACATATTTATAATTTACTGTATTAGTATAACTTCAGATTGTTTTTATATGTTTACATTGATAAAATGTATTTGAGTTTTTTCAAATAAAATGCATTTAACTTAATAACGTTTTAAAAAGTTTTTGTTCCCTCTTTATGACCCTTTAATTTATTCTTCTTGCTAGAACACATTCTGTAGTAATTATTTCAAATTATGCATGGGAGGTATACCATCTCCATCCTACTGAATGACTCTCATTCTTGGGTTTTAATTTGAATGGGTACACTCACACTTATTTTTAAAGTTAATTTACTTTATAATTTTGAAGCTGTATTTGATTAAAAGTATGGTGTAAATCAGATTTTATCTCTTTATTTACTCTTTCTGGAAGCCTTTAGAATTTTCACTTTATCTTTAGTAAGCTTATTGTGATATGCTTGAGACTTGGTGATGGACCCTTTCTGTCTGAGAGCTCCTGTCTTTCTTTAGTTTGGGGAAATATTATTCTTTTTTAAATTACTTTATGAAAGTATGGTTGAAATAAGATATTGTAGTTTCAGGTGTACAACATAGTGATTCCACGTTTATATACCTTACGGTGTGATCACCACGATAAGTCTAGTAACCATTTGTCATTCTACAGAGTTATGATGTTATTGACTATATTCCCTGTGCTGTACATTACAGTCCCATGGGCTATTTATTTTTTAACTGAAACTGGGTGCCTCTATTCCCTTCCACCCAGCTGTTTATTCCCCTCCCTCTGGAAACCATCTGTTTGTTCTCTGTATCTACAAATCTGTTTCTGTTTTGTTCTGTTTGTTTATTTAGCTTTTTTAAAGATTCCACATATAAGTGAAATGACATAGTATTTTTTTTCCCTGTTTGACTTGTTTCACTCAGCATGATATCCTCTAGGTCTATCCATCATCTTCTGTATTTTGAGTACTTTTAAAAATCACCTTTCTTCATTCTGCCTGGAACTTGTGTCATTTATCTTACATGTCTCTTAATTACTGTATTTATCTTACATGTCTCTTAATATTCCTTCATTCTTTCTATTTTTTTTTGACCATTTATCCTGCATCTGAAAATATTTTCTTGCTAAGTTTCATGCTTACTAATTCCCTCTTAGGCGCTGTGTATTCTGCAGATTAGCTTACAGTGAACTGCCAGTTGTCAGCCAATGTCCATTCTTCCCATTGTAATAAAGCTTTGCTGGGCTCATGGCTACACGACAGAAGACCCCATGTCATTATCTCTTTTGTGTATTGGTGAGCCCAGAAACTAAATGTGAGTGGGGAATGATGTGTGGCACTCTCAAAGTGACTGGGTTGCAATTCTTTTGTTCTTTTCCCCCTATTCTACTGACTTGAAGATGATGAGCACTGTACCAGCCATCCAGGACACACAAGTGGGAAGCCATTTGTTGAATATGTCTGAGTGTCCTTCTAGCCTTAAACTGCTTTCCGATCCCTGGATTTTGATGTGAGAGGGGAGAGCAACGGGGGAAAAAGTGGGACAACTGTAACTGAACAACAATAAAAAAAAAAAGAAAAACTTCCACATTGTTTAAACCATTGTGTTTTGGTGTCTCTAGTAAGTTTAACAAATTTAATAGCACTCAAGCTGACGTTCTATTGATTTGTAAAATTTCAAAAATAAAAATTTTGTCAGAGTCTTTCTTCATTCTTTTATAGTGATTTGATATCCTTTTCTTCCACTCTAAAATGTTTATCTAGTCTGGTCTTGTTTTTTTATTTTGTTGTGTTTTGTCTTACCTCTAGCAGAGTGGTTGTAAAATTTTGGCATTGATTAGAAATACCTGGAGAACTTGTAAATATATTTTTTCTGTGCTCCACCCCAGAATTTCTGATTCTATAGCTGGGGGGAGGGGCCAGCTGGAAATTTGCATTTCTAACAATTTTCCAGATGATGTTGATACTGCTGGTCTAGCCTTCATGCTTTTGAGACCCATTGTTCTAGTAATTCAGTTTCATACAAATGTGTTGCGCATGGGTCACTGGCCAGCAGTGACCACGGAACGCTGTGGATGGCTTGACGATAAACACGCGAGAAAAAACAACACATGCACAGAGACAAACTAGTTTCTGTGGGGAAGTAGGGACGAAATGGCCACCCCCCCTAGTGGGGAGCGCGCTGATTGACCGTCCATACCTGCTTTTATTGGGCTCATTCTGCATAATAATTCAGGTAAAGTACAGTACTCATTCGGGGAAGTAAGGAACCATAGAAAACAAAGAACTCTGCTGGTCTATTGAGTTGGGGGTCAAAGAGCTGTAAGACTGAGGAACAAACTAACTTCCTCCTAAGACCCTTCTCATTCAACTGAGAGCATTCTAAACAAAGAAGGTTTCACAGTAATTTACATGTTCTTTCTTAGGCCTGATCACCCCCGGGATTCTGCACTTCTCAGTACAGAGCTGCACCACCCTGTCATTGTTTCAGGCTTAGGTGGAGCAAGGGAACTAAGGCAACTGGGAGACAAGTTTTTTTCCCAGACGCTGAGAACTCAGGCTATGTCAAAGCCGAGGAGCGAGGGTCCATCACCCCCTTTTGCTGCAGCCCCCCAAGTCCTTCTTTTGGGGGGCCTCCCAAAGTGATCGTGCCTGTCTTAGGTCATTCCCCCTGTGGGGAATCTTACCCGTCTTTGGCTAACCGACCAAGCTTTTTGGGGTTCAGTCATGAATAAAGCAGCAGAAGCAGCATTCCTGCCGGGGAGATAAGCTTTTGTCTCCTTGCTGGCTTACAGTTCCAAGGGTGTTCCCTTAGCCTTAGCCTAGGTGGGGGTTTCAGCTTCTGATACCAGTCAGGGCAGTTCCCAACACAAATGTAAATTCTTCTCTGTTGAACCAGCCATCTTTTGTTTTGTTGGCTTTTCTCAAATGTTTGGTTTTTCTTAGGTGTATTCTCAGAGTATTTGAGATTTTTGATGTCCAGTGTGTTATAACATATTTGTTTACCACATTCTTGCCCAGTGGTATTAGAGGATGGGCAAGGCTCTATTCTGGGAGAGAGCTAGTTTTCTGAGGGGGCTAGTTTTCTGAGAAGAGGGGGCTTCTTCTATTCATCCTGGGTGTCACCAGCCTTCTGGGGCACTAACTCCGTCCGCTTGCCTAGAGGCAAATACCTCTGTTGCTCTTTAACTAAATTGTTTTAGAGGAGCCTGTCCCTTTTGCTTTTTCAAGCACTCACCTTGCTAGTTGTCCTAAGGACCATACTGCACCCAGATCCACCAGTTTTGGGCTTGAAGCCGTGTTGGAGTCACTTCTGTGTTTTCTAGTTTGCCTGTCTAGTGTATGATTAGACTCCGTCTTCAATTTATTCCACCTGTCTCCTTTCTTGAGGACATTCTTCAACGTTTCTTTTCCTTTGGAGGACTCCTTTGGTATGATCCAATCGGGCTACTTATTTTTGCTTATATAATTGTCTTTAATTATCAGGGATTAGGACGAGGGAAAGGACTGTATCAACATATTCTCTGCCGTCTTGATCCAGCCTCTCAACATTTATTTTTATTTAAGAATTTAGTAAATAAAAATAAACTCAGCTATATTGCAAGTTTTGTGAGGATCTAGTCCTGCAGTAGACCCTCAGGCATATTTATATTTCTCCCAATTAAATAAATACTTGTTTACTCAAGTCTCCCTTTTATCTAACCTGCCTTTCGTGATTTCTGCCATATTAACCTACTGGTATATGTTTAGGAAATATAATTTTGTTTCAAATAGGAGCTTATGCTAATGACAATAAGGTAAATTAGAGAAAATTACTACTCAATAATAGAGATAATTAATATAACAAATTAATATAATTTAAATAATAGTATTTAAATAGAATTTATTGCATTACATTGGTTAATACAATTACATAGGTTTTAGGTATACAATTCTACAATAATTGTATTTATTAAGCACTTGCTATGTACCAGGCTTAAGCTAAGCACTTTACACGTATACTGTTAATATCACTGTTTTGCAGAAGAGGGTACCAAAACACAGAGACAGCAAGTAACAAAACCAAACAGCTAGTCAGTAGCACAGGGAAGATTTAAACTACGTTTTATTAGAGCCTGTGCTCTTAAGCATTATACTGTCTGCCTCCTATGAAGGTGCATTTGCTAGATTTCAAAGTCAAGTAGCTGACATGCATTATCCATGTTATAATGCACTTGTATGTGAGAATATGCCATGGAGCTAAAACTAGACTCAGAGTTTTTTAGTAGTGATTGAATTGGAGTAAAAATAATCAATGTTGCCTTTGCTTATTGTCTGATAAAGTTGATGGTAGATACCTTTTATTTCTTTTTAATTTAACTACAGGTGATAGTGTTACAGACTTACTATAGACAATGGCATGCAAAAAACGTGGTAAAGAATTTAAGAAGACAAAAAATGTTAAGGTTAAAATGGGAAGAACAGGAAGAACAAAGAAAGATAGAAGAAAAAGAAGAATGGAAGGCACTGGACTATTACCGGAGGCATAATCCTCAAACAAAAGAAGATTTTGAACTTCTGTATAATGCACTAGAATGTAAGTTTGAAATAGGCTTGGCATAAAATGTTAATTTTATAATTTTTCACTAGTAGGAAAAAACAGGTCTATTAAAGACAAAAGGAAGACCTTACTATTTCAGGAAAATGGGTTGGGAATCAAGACAATTTGATGCCCAAGGGCAATCAAATTGGGCAATTTGGGACAATTTGAAATGACGAATAGGGTCTTACATTTGGGACAGGATCAAGGCTGAAATGAATTTGGAAATGCTTTTATATTAACAGTGGATAAGTTATACAGGTTTTGTATATTGTCTCATTTGATCCTTATCCCTGTTGAGACAAAGAAAGTATAGTTTAATACAGTTCTTTGACAGTTTAGGAATTTGTGAACCCAGAGTTGAACTGTCTCCAGCTCCTCAGTCCAGCATCCTGTCTCTGATTCTGCTCATTAGGTGAGGGGCTGAGCAATGCCTTTGATTCCCTTCCATTAATCATAATATGTAAATGTACATTTTTGACCCATTTGAATTTGATGGCTCTTTTCTTTCATACAATGTGTGCTAGTCATTTATTGACACAGAAGCTTCAGTTCCTCAAACAAGCAAAGTATTCTCTACTCAGGGCAGTAGAGACACTGTTCTTCCTAAAGCCTGTCGCCTTGCCTACCTTCCAGTCTCAGCTTAAATGTATTCTACTCAGAGGCTTTTGTGACTGAGTATGAATGGTCTATCCTATTGCACTCCAAACTTTTCACTCATAACACCATAATTTATAGTAATACACCTTTTGTTTAAAATTAACTTTCACCCTTGTGTTGTAAGTTTTGAGAGAAACTGATTTTTTTAATGATCTCTGTTTTTCTGTGCTTAGCTCATATTGCAACAAATATTGGTTGAATGAATGAATAAATGAATGAAGGGGAAACCTAGAAATGTACTAACGCAGCTATTTCTAGCTTCTGCTTTTTCAGAAGTAACTTGCTAAAATGGAAGTAACTGAAACAGAAGAAATTTTCTATTGCTTTAGATGCTAGAAAGTGGAGAAGTTAGCCTCATGTGAACACAGAAAAATTTTTAAATTAAAAATAGCTTTATTTTTTTTCTTCTTGTTGAACGAGTTTTTTTTTAACCCAAAGAATTAACAGTCTTTGACTCCTATGATGGTTTATAACACTAACTTTAAGCAAAATTTTATTTTATTATAACTTTATTTATGTAGTATTTGTGGATATCATTGTGTGTTCTGTTACCCAAGTCACTTTTTCCTAACTGAATACAATTTTAGACATTGGATATTGGACATATTTAAATAGCTATATGAAAATGCACTATTTACTGAAGATGATACAATTCAACGCTAGGTCCAGCCAGCAAAATTAATGAATGTACCTCACGTGCAGATTTGAGTGGCTTTAGGAATGCAGCAGAGTGTAACAGTTAAGCTTGCTCCCCAGACTTGTACATCTGCCTCTTCTTTCTCCTAATTGTTAACCTGTGCAAATACTTTGTTTTACTTTAAATTTTACTTCTATTTCCATTTGCTCTGTCAAATGAAAACAAACGTTATTTCCAAGTTTAGCAGTTTAACAGAGAGCAGTGTTGGCAAAGTGTCTGTGAAAGATTGTACTGATAATTATACAACTATACAGCAGAGTTTTATAGAATAGAGTTCCATTACAGCAGAACTCTATTCAAATAATAATCCAAATTCATATGTGAATAAACCAAAGGATACCATTGTTATTCTGTTTGATTAAGAGGTAACTATGCAAAATAATAGGAAATATGCTAAATGAGGTCCTACCTTTACTACTTACTAGTAGTATTAACTTATACAAGTTACTTATTTTTAAAAAAATATATTTTATTGATTGTGCTACGACAGTTGTCCCATTTTTTCTCCCTTTTATTCCCCTCCACCCTGCACCCACCTCCTACCATCATTCCCCTGCTTTAGTTCATGTCCATGGGTCATACATATAAGTTCTTTCACTTCTCCATTTCCTATACTATTCTTAACCTCCCCCTGTCTATTTTGTACCTACCAGTTATGCTTCTTATTCCCTGTATTTTTTGCCCTGTTCCCCCCATCCGCTCCCCACTGATAATCCTCCATATGTTCTCCATTTCTGTGATTCTGTTCCTGTCCTAGTTGTTTGCCTAATTTGTTTTTGTTTTTGTTTTTATTTTTAGGTTCAGTTGTTGATAGCTGTGAGTTTGTTGTTGTTTTACTGTTCATATATTTTATCATCTTTATTCTTAGATAAGTCTTTTTAACATTTCATATAATAAAGACTTGGTAATGATAAACTCCTTCAATTTGACCTTATCTGGGAAGCTCTTTATCTGCCCTTCCATTCTAAATGATAGCTTTGCTGGACAGAGTAATCTTGGATGTAGGTCCTTGCCTTTCATTACTTGGAATACTTCTTTCCAGCCCCTTCTTGTTTGCAAGGTTTCTTTTGAGAAATCAGCTGATGGTCTTATGGGAATTCCTTTGTAAGTAATTGTGTCCTTTTCTCCTGTGGCTTTTAAGATACTCTTCTTATCTTTTATCTTGAGTAACATAATTATGATGTGCCTTGGTGTGTGCTTCTTCTTTGGGACTCTCTGAACTTCCTGGAAGACTATTTCCTTTGCCAGCTTGGGGGATTTTTTCATTATTTTTCAAGTAAGTTTTCAGTTTTTTTTTTCCTCCTTTTCTCCTTTTGACACCCCTATGATTCAGATGTTGGAAAGTTTAAAGTTGTCCCAGAGGTTCTTAAGCCTCTCCTCATTTTTTTGAATTCTTGTTTCTTTATTCTCTTCTGGTTGAATGTTTATTTCTTCCTTCTGTGCCAAATTGTTGATTTGAGTCCTGGTTTCCTTCTGTTCACTGTTGATTCCCTTTGTATTTTCCTTCATTTCACTTTTCATAGTCTTCACTTCTTCTACTTTACAACCATAGTCATCCTGTGAGCATCCTAATAATTACCAGTGTTTTGAACTGTGCATCTAATAGGTTGGCTTTCTCTTCATTGCTTAGTTCTGTTTTTGGAGCTTTGACCTGTTTTTTCATTTGGGCCATTTTTTTTTTTTTTTTGTCTCAGCTGGCCTGCTACATAGTAAGGGGTGGAGCCTTAGGTATTCGCCAGGGTGGGGCAACCCACGTTGCTTTTTGTGGTGCTGTGTGTAGGGAAGGGGTCAGAGAGGGAACAATGGAGCTTGCTCAGCTCTCAGCTGGCTTTCAGTTACTCCCCCTGCTACCCACAAGCAAATTGTCCCTTTTGGTGCTCATTTCCAGGTGGCAGGTTTGTGTACATTCTAGGACCCTGTGGGTCTCTCCTATGAGCTCTCCTGTGAGACTGGGAGTTTTTCCTGACACCACAATTCCCACAGGTTTATACATCCAGATATTGTGAAGCTTTATTTCCCTGCACTGGAACCCTGGGTTGTATGGTGTGTCTCATTCCCCAGTTGTTCCTCCCTGTTTATCCTCATGCATGTGGGACCACCTGGTCCTCCAGCTGCCAACTTGCCACACGTGCATCCTCTCGGCCTCAGCTGCCCATCTTTGCTCCTCCTACTGGTCTAAATGAATGCTTCTTCTTTAACTTCTTGGTTGTCGTACTTCCATACAGTTCAATTTTCTGGCAGTTCAGGATATTTTTGGTTTTTAACTTTGTGGTTGTCCTTCTTTTGTCTATGCAAGTAGGTAAAGTGTATCTACCTATGCCTCCATCTTGGCTGGAAGTCAAAGTTACTTATTTTTTCTAAGCCTCAGTTTCTCCATCTATAAAAGAATTTAATAATTTCTGACATATCAACTTCAGAAGGCTATGTAAAGGGAAAAATATAAAATATTACATTCATGAAAGCACTTTAAAAAGTACAAAGATCTATGCATGTCTTAGTTACTGTTATATGGTAAATGATTTTATACAGATTTTTCATATTAAAGTAGAACAAATGTATTTTTTTATTTCTACACATGATTTATATGGAAAATAAAAGTGAAATTTCTTATATAAAACACATTTCTCAGTTTTCTTCTAGCCCTACAATTCTAAATTTATACTCTCAGATTAATACTTTTTAAGTCTGTTTTGTTGTAATTTATACCAGTCTTCTGTTTAATAGTACAGGTTCAGTCCATGTTCTTAACTTCAGTATTTCAAGCTGCTGCCCTCTTGTGGTGGAGAGTGTCAATTGCATAGTTTGAATTACATTGCCTAATAGGAATTTTAACATTTCCTTCAAATAGTCTGTCCCTTGGTTATTAAGTGAAATGATATCAACTTAACAAATGGATTTAACTGCATAAGTTAATATAATGAGTCAGATACAAGACTATATCCATGCAAACATGTTTGATTTTTATGTCTTTTAAAATTTTATTCATTTGTTCATTCATTCATTCATTCACTTATCCATTGATCTGAATTGTCACTTTTATCTCAGACTCAGCATAGGGGTCAACATCTTTGAGAAACCTCTCCCAGCAGCATGGATACAGCTCGGAGTCAATTTTCCTTGCCCTATTATTCTCTGCACACACTACTCTCTTAATTGTTCACCTTTTTACCTTTGGCATCTGATAGGGCCTTGCTCAGTATGTCTAGTAAATGTGTTGAACTGAATCTTCTAAACATTTTCTTTGTTTTGACTTGAGTTATCCATGTTTTCTGACTGTAATTATTATCTCTTGAGGTTAAGGTACCTAGACTTTTAGCTTCTGGAGACTCTGTGGGCCCAGTTCACTGATATCTGGCCCTGGGATTCTGAATCTTTCTTGGTTCTTGATGTTCAGGCTTCTAGTCTGTGATGAGAAATTTCCTTATTTATTGGGGTTTGTGTTTGTTTGTTTGTTTGTTTAGTGATGAGAATTTGAAAAAGAAGATGCATATGAGCTGGCAGTGGTAGAAAAGATGTTGTACTGTTATTTTTTAATTTTCAAATTGTAATTAGATCTCAGAAATTTTAAAATGTGTATGGACTTTAAATACTAGTCTTGTACTTCCACTTTGTGATTGAACTTCAGACCCTGGAGATTAGGTCATTTGTCAAAGAAGATAAGGAAATAAATGTAATTTTTCAAATGAACCAATTTATTTAATGTCATTTTCTTTAAAAAATATTGAGAGTTAATTGGCATTTGTTATGGGCTGAATTTTGTTCCCCTAAAATTCGTATGTTGATGTCCTAATTTCCAGTGTATCAGAATGACTGTATGTGGAGATGGGGCCTTTAAAGAGATCATTAAGAATGAGTTAGGTACTCTGAGTGGAACGTAAGCCAATTTGATTCGTGTTCTTATAAAAAGAAGAGATTAGGAAACAGCCATGCACAGAAAGAAGATCATATGAATACACCAAAGAAGACGGCCATCCACAAGCCTTGGAGAGAGGCCCTCAGAAGAAACTAACTCTGCCATCATATTGATCTTGAACTTCTATCCTCCAAAACTGTGAGGAAATAAATTTATTTTTTTAAGTCACCCATCCCATGGTACTTTATTATAGCTGCCCCAGAAAACTAATATATCATTACATTTTTAAAAATCACCCCTAGGGAATTTATTTTATGAAAGGGGGGCAGAATCTCTCTTGTTTCCCTCAATGTCCTCTATGTATAGTTCTGGAAATGGTCAAATGAGATGTCAAATTTATTTCATCTCACTGCTCCTGATTCCTGTGTTTTTCTATTTCTTATCAGTAGCTGGAACATGGTCTATTTCTGATGCCATGTTCCATCCTTCATTACAGACTTACAGGGAGGTTGTTCATCTGATGGAGAATATCTTGCTCTTTTAGGTTGGCAGAATACCTTAAACAATACCCTACTGGCCTAAGTGTATTGCTGGGCTGAAAGGTTTCTAATGTAAAACTGGGAAGTAAAATAGGCTTACTAGTATCATTTAATTGTTTTCTGCTTTCTGGGAATATCCATATAATGAAATAAATATTTTCAGTTATTCCACAAGCAAACATTTTTTTCTCTTCATTTGTATACTACCTTTTGGTATATGGAATTTATTCAATTTTTTAAAGTTCCTTTTGGTTGCTACTCTTAAATGATAAACTCATCAATTATGGATTTCCTGCACTTGTATAACATTATTTAGCTCTTTTACAAATCCTCTTTTAGGACAAACCAGGGCATACAGTGTTTAAATAATGTATTCCCAGTGAGGAACAGAGTAGATCCTTATAAGGAACATGACTAGCAAGTTCTTACCTGATCAGGGTGATTTCAAATTGAAGTTTAAGAGGAAGAAGAGATGGTCTGGTAACACTGTAAAACAGGATGTCATGAAAAGCAGTGGTTAGCAGAAATAACACTACGGCTTCAGATATATACTTTCCAATTTAAAGACTGGTGTTAAAGTAACCTGTCATTTTAATAGCAGAAAAATATAATTTCTAATTATATAAATGGTATATAAATGTAATTTATATATTCTGCACTATCCCTGTAATATGCTGGAAAACTTAATCATGTCTGGAATATAACATAGGAAGAGTACATTTTACTTGATTGAATCATATCTAATGGAAGGTAAGTGGAAGTAATCTCATATGTCAAGAAAAGATGTACCCAAAGGAAGTCTTTAAGCCTAATGGTGAAAAGAAAATGCCAGGCTTTTGGGTAAAGAGAAATGGAAAGAGAAGCAGACATTCTGTTCTTGTGGAAGGTTTTACAGTCTACCCAGCTCGGGAGAAGCAAGGACACGGGTTAGTTCCTTCAGTAAAGCATATGTCTTTCTCACACCAGACCTTAAAGAGTGCCTTTCACATGGTAATATCTCAAAAATGGTAACTGGGTATTGTGAACTGGCAAAGAAGTGATAGAATTTTGGCATGTATAATAACTAGATAAGTGAGCCAGGTTTTTTTTTTTTTAAAGTTCAGAAAAAAATAGACTTGATTCTATGGCCACAATACAGTTAATGAGTGCTTGAAACTTCATCATTCTGACAATGTAATTATAAATTATCTTTATGTGAGAGGACAGAATCAGATGGCTAATTAAGTAAAGGTGGCTCTCCAGAGTAAACCAACAAATCAGTGTGCATTGAAAAGGACTGTACAAAAGAAAAGATGACATACTTTTGAGAGGCAGAGAGCAGTCAAGGCCATGGACCATGGAGTCACACAGCCAGAGTGTTAGTCCTGGCTCCACCTGGACAGGTTACACAGGTTCTCTTTTCCTGTCTCCTTTTTTATAAAATGTGGAATAATAGCAGCACCCATTCACTGGTTTTTCAGGAGAGTAAATGCGTTCATATATGCAAGAAGCAATTGAGACAGAGCCTGGCACATAGTAAGCAGCTGCCATTTTTATGGTCTCATTTAATTAGAAAGAGGGGACTAGGAATTGTGAGGAAACAGGAAATGAAGTAAACAGTACAGTTAAAAAACAGATTTTTTTTTTCAGTGCAGCCATAAGAATAGAAAGGACATTAAGGCAATGTCTATCTATAGCTTGAAGCCGTACAGGTTCCTGTATGGATTAAGAGAGAAGAGAATGAGACTGTAAAAAAAAGGCTGATTTTTGGGGCTAGACCACGTTCTGATGTGTTCAGACGTGAGGGTATCTTGGATGAGGCTGGAGTTATGTAAACCTGCCCGGATGGAGGACACACCTGCCGCCTTTGGGGAGAAATCCATGAGCATGCTTCCCTAGAGGCATAAATTGACATTATCTGTATTGCTGTCCTTTGGCTTCTGTTTGTTTGACCACTTTTATTGTTTAGTCTCTCAGCTTCTGTTTCACCTCATTTTTTCATATATCAGATGCACACTGTGAATGATTCTATTCATATATAATTTTATTTAAATTGATACAAAAATAAAACACTGCTTGTCAGGATGTGATGGAAAAAAATACTCTGCAAAGATGTGGGATTTTAAAACTCGAGTCTTTCATGTTATTCCTGTAGTCTGGCGACAAGAAGAAGTGGCACGAATTAACCAATCTCTTACTGGAGCAGAAAGGAAAACTGCTTTGTGTGAACTTCTGGAAAAAGAGAGCCAAATTATTGCTTCCATTGGGAGACATAGATACATTGCTTCTATAGCAAACCAGGAGGCAATGATACAAGCTTTTTTGAATAAGGTTAGTGAAGTACCAATTATTTAACTATCAATGTAGCCTTACTTTAAAAATGCAAAGTAACTAAAAGATTTACATTTTAAGAATTTGCATGAATTTTGTTTAGCATTTTGGTAACATATTTAAAAAAATTCTTCCTGTATTTTTTTCTTTTTTGTGATACACCTTTAGATTTTAACTGCAGCATAAAATAACGATTGACAAGTAACATGAAATTAACAGGTTCATTCTTAGCTAAAGGGACCAATGAAGGAAGAAAATGTAGATAATGTCCTTGTAACTGTTCATTTAGGTTTAGTCTGGCTATAGAAATTAGGTGAATTGCACACCCTGATAAAATGGAATATTAAATTCACAAAATGTCTTGTCTGGGGTGCCACTGTAGTGAGCAACGTCGGGAAAATAGCTATCGATTAGTGTTTTTTCTCTTGCTCACCAGGTCATTAACTGATTGGAAATTTCTGACCAAAAGGATATATGGTTATTGAAAACATGTAATTAAGGGAAACACTAAAGTAATTACCCATTTGAGGTGAAACTGCCTGTTTGATATTAAATAGCCTGTTTCCATAGTGACCACTTTCCTTTTATAAACCTGATCTTTTCCAAACAATTGAAAGCCAACCAGCTACAAGAAGAAAAAGAATGGTGTTCCTCAAGATATTCGCCTGTAGGGGTTCTAGTTGTAGGATTCTTGTTTGAGAGCATTTGTTTTTAAAGCCTACATATTTTTTTTTACTAGAAATGCCCTCCTGTTATCTTACCTGTACATCCTCTTGTTTGATCTCAGTTTTTCTTGTGGCTTGAACTACTACCTAAATCCTGGAATTCCCTACAGTTCCAGGCCGGACCTCTCTTAGAAGCTTCTGCAATCACATGTCCAAATGCCTGCTGTCATAGCTCTTTGGATGTCCTAAGAGTCCACCTCCAGTCAACCCTGAAGCCATATCATGTCACCATCCCTTCATCCCTCACCTCTAAACTTACCCTGTTCCATAGCTCACATAATTTATCTCTGATAACGTTTCGTCATCTACTCAGTCGCTTCAGGCAGAAAGCAGGGTGGTATTCTTGACACCCTAGGAGCCACCAACTTGTTTGTTCTATTACTTTAACAATCTCTTCAATTCTTTGCCTCTTCATTTCCAAACCCACTGCTACTGCCTGTGAGGAAGAAGTTCTGTCATGGTACTCTGATGCTTCACATGTAGCCACATAGACCTTGTAGGCAAAGACACGAACTGCAGCTAATCTGCGTCTTGTTGGAATGCCTTGTGGCCCTACTGGAACCTGCAAAGAGGGGAGGCTTCTGAGGATTTGCAATGGGCAGCTCCTCTCTCTTGCTCCCTTTCTCCCCTGGAAGGCTGTCATGAGAAAGGGCTTATCTTGTATGTGTGAGCTTGACATTGATTTAAATAAGTCTGGGTGTCCTCCTCACCTGGATTACTTTTATATCTCCAAATTAGGCTCTTGGTCTCCAGTCTCACTTCTCAATTCCCTCCTCCATACTGCTGCCACTGCCACAGTGACCTCATTAAATACCACCTGCCCCTGCCCCTCCTCACTGCCCTCATGGAACAAGCATTTTCATAATTGGTTCTCAGAACACCTGCCCCACCCCACTGTTGTCTCCTTGCACACTACGGCTACACTGCTGCAGCCGTGCTCCCTTCCTACTTGTACATCCTCGGAAAGATCATGTGCTCTTGATGCTTTTACATCTGGTCTTACCTCTACTTGGAACACCCTTTCCTTTCTGCCTCAGTAGCCAGTTACTCACCCTTCAAACAAGCTTAGTCACCCTTTGTTCCAGAAAGGATCCACTTATCCTCCTACTTTAGCCTGCACTATATGCTTTCAAGAGACTATCTCACTTCTCTCTTAGTACATCATACTCAGTTTTTATTATATCTATTTAGATGTCTGAATCCTTCCTAGATTCTGAGCTTCTGAAGGCAAGAGCTATTATTATCTCTGTACCCTTGTATCTCAGCACAGAGCTTATCACAGGGTATATATAAATTCTTGTGAAAGAAGGCGGGGAGGAAAAATGAGGGACAGAAATTTTGTTATATAATTTCATATTTCAGATATTATCAAGAAGTTACACAATGTAGATACTGTCATTTCAAATTCTTGAATATCTTCATTTGAGAAAAGATGAGTCTACTGTATTGAAGCCATCATGTTCATATGTCTCCAGATTCATAGTTTAAACAAATTTACTCCTTTAGCAAGTTGTTTTATGTTGAAACCAATTTCATCACTGGGACCTGCATTCATTATGTGGCTGATAGTTAACCTTACCAAGGAGGACAGCATGGACCCGAGCAGGAGAGTGTTTGATGGTGCAGGAAGCCTCTGAGCTGCCAATGACAGGGAAGATGCGCTACACCTTCTATAGGATTTCCCACTCGTGCTGCCTCTGCTGCTTTGTTTCCTATAAACCATTTTAAATTCTGCTTGTAAATACTTTTACAATGTCTGTTATTCCTGTGCCTTTTTATCCTGCCCTCTATTCCTACTCCAGTACTAAACATTTTTGAATTATAAAGAGTCCAAAGTAGATTAAGTTCCAACATATAGAAGTGACTCTGGAGCCAATTGAAGACCATTACTCTTTCCTATGAATTATATCACTCTAACATAAGGTCCAACAGCAACAACAAAAAAGATGAGATCTGGAAAATTTGAACACAAAAATTACTATTAGGAAGGAAATTTTTTTTGTTTGTTTCTTATGAATAACTGATAAGTTGTTACAGTTGAGTCTGAGATCCTGAAGGATCCTCAGTGTAGGCAGAATGGTTTTCTGCCAGTAAAATGGAGGGGTTTTTTTAATCACTAGGAGAAAAAGAGAGTGAAAAGACATTTGGAAAGTAATGGAGTACAATGTGGCTTCTTGTGACTTCTTAAGTTATATTACTAAATAAATGAAATATTAAATGCAAGATGATATTTTTTTGGTAAGAGGAAAAGGGTTGCGAGAAATGACCAGGTCTTAATGTCCAGACTGATTCAGGGCTGCACACAAAGATGCAAGACCAGAAGAGTCAAGGAAGGGTGGAAAAGTTATGCAAAAGGACTTGTAGATATCAAGGGCCATGGGGTTTTTTTGTAGGTCATAGGTTTTAGAATTGTAGTTCTAAATCTACAGTCACCTCAGTTGATAAGCCAGTTAATCTCACCAATCCCCAGTCTAAGACTTAGAGGAAATGAACATTTTGGCTGATACAAGGGAATTTTGCCTCAGTTTTGACCAAAGTGTATAGGACAAGAAAAGCACAACCACAGAATGGAGCAGCTACACTCAAGGTCAATCCACAGCCCATTACACAACCTAGTTAGTGCAGTCTTCAGAAATATTGACTACTTGTGGTTTTGGGCCTGCTTTTAACCTGTTAGGGTAAATTATAAAGTTTTTGTTATTTGAATACAAAATCATTTTAATCATCTTTTTGTATATGATACCATAGTAAACATCATACAAAACAGTTGATAGATTTTATAGTAAGCTTTTTTTGCAACTCTTTGTACAATGTCTACTCTTCTTTCTGTCTGTCCACCTTATCACCTCAGCGCCCCAATGCCTAATATTGTCTCTGATATTCAGGCTCAGTGTTGAGTTCATAAAACTTGAAGTGATTTATTAACCTGCAGTTCTTTTGGTTGCTAAAGAAAAATATCTTTTAATGAATTCCTGAAGTTAGACAAGGTTAGAGTTTTTCAAATGTCAAAACTAACAACTGGAGCCATGATACAGTTTTAAGATCCACATTTTGCACCATAATTCATAGATATGGAAAGAGAACATTTTCTTTATTATACTTAACTTTGGAGAATAAAGTTCTATGTTGTGGTTTTGGTTGAATCTAAATAATATGTTAATTATTGAACTAATGTTTTATATCTTTTTATCCTGAACATAAAATTTCTCTGAATATTGAATAATACGATTTTAAATTAGTCCAGTCAAGGCTTTGAACCAGTCAATTATTCATTCTATACTAAACCTTCATTCTTCTTAAGAGAATTAATCCAAAGATTTTTTAAAGCATTAGTTCAATAATTTACACTCTTCACACAACAAACATTGACTTCCACTAGTTATCAAATGTTAAAAACTCAACAAGTTCACAGAGATGAAGAAATTCAAGTCAAGAAATCCGAACAAAAAATGATCAGCCAGTTTCTAATATATCTTGGTGCTTTTTACCCAACTGTATAAAGAGACCACTTGCGTTTTTGTAAGAGACTTCTCTAGACTCAAGGTCATTTATTTCTTTGCTTCTCTTTGATTTGCATACCACTTCTCATAATCACAAACTGATAAACTGCAACCTGTGTTAGCTGTGTCATTTGAATGTTTCTTCGCAGTACTCAGGTGGCCAACACCTGATGGGACAGAAAAATCAACAGACTCTTGTCTCTCTCTGAGCACCACACTACACAGGGGTGTCCTCTGTGGATGAACAAAACCCTTTTGCTATGGAAAAGAAAAGTTGATCAGTGCCCAGTAGCTTTGGGTGGGTCACGATTATTCTTAATTTGTGCCCTCAGGGACTTGAGTATTAATTTAGAAGGAAGAAAAGCCCTCCTTTCTCCGTGCAGCTGTTTCTTCTCTTCTGTGGAAGCCTGGGGCTCTCAAGATTTGTGTCATCTCTCCACCTTTCCTTCCCTGAAATACGTCTTCCTGCAGCTCTTCTGTGTCCCTCCTCCAGACCCTGTGCTGTCTCTGTGATGTTCCTGTTTTCTGAATCAATTTAAGAACAAGTTTGCTGTGCATCAAAGCATTCAAAGAGGAAATAGGAAAGAAAAATCAACAAAGTTGACATTTTCCTGCATCACAGTAAAAAAAAAATCTTAAGTCCTGAAATTAAAGAAGCCTAGATTTGGAGACCAAATTATCAGTGGTAGAAATAAATCCTAGTATAAAAAAGCTTTGCCAATGGATTTTTAATACCTTCTCAGTGCTAACATTAAGGAACTTGAACTTCAAATCTAGGGTTCTTTGTATCACTCAGTTTTCTTTCCTCTGGCTAACTCCCAGTTTTTCTTCAGGTTTCACCTTAGATACTATTTTTTTCACCAGTTAAATGCTTCATAGCAACCTGTAGTTACCTATTTACCTGCAATCAGCAAGCATAATTACCATTCTTTGTTACTTATTTTCTTATCTTTACATCCCATTAGATCTGAAAGCTCTTGAAATCAGGATAGTATTTTATGTAGTAGGTACCTAATGGTACATTTAATAGAGCCAAGTCTGAGGAAAACTGCATGCAAAATTAGACTTTTGAATATTGTAGTACAAACTTAGCTTAAGATTGCTGTTCCTTAAAACTTTTAAAAAGAGCTTTGAAACAAGCATTAAATTTCAATAACATTCTGAGGCCCACCCCAAACATGGCTGTGGTCAATTTAAAACAATTTTTTTTATTTCTAAGTGATAATTATTAAATGATAAAACACTATTATTGAGCTATTTTTCTGTTTTATAATTCTTAATAAATTTTAATTCTGTCAGCCCAATAACATTACATTATTTAATATTAGATTTATGCTCTAAAATATGAATTAATTATAGGGCTTCTCACTTGCTAAATTAAAACTAGGACTAAGAATCTAAAGTTTCTGATTCACTTTGGCTTTCCTTAGAAAATGATACCAGTACTTTGAAAGCATATGAAATGTAGTTGCTTTTCAAGTTTACTTTGTAGTTCTCAGTATAGTTTGGCTAATATGAAATATAAAAAAATTCAAGGTAAATTGATGCCTAACTAAAAATTCCTCATAATATTGTCATTCCAAATACATCTTTACCTTACTTCTTTATTTGGCTAGTCTACAGTCTTGATGATTTGTCCCAATGCATGGTCTTCTACTTAAACTTTAAATGAAATCAAATCTAAGATTTAAATGGTTGTAAATATGGTGTGAATTGAACTACAGCTCTCCAAAGGAATTACCAGACAGCCTCCAATATTTGAACAGTTAATAATCATGATAACATAGCCTTGTTTGAAAGAAACTAGGCAGCTTTATACTATAAAGTAGGAGAGCAAACAGACTGTGAGTTTTCATGGGGAAGTTTCCTGGTGAATGCCCCTCACAGGAGGGAACAGAAGCAGTGGCAAGCACAGACTAATCATCGTCATCAGAGACTGTTGATGTCCCAAGTCTGCAGAGCACTTGTTCCACCTCCTGTCTCTGTCTCTGAATTCTTAACCTGGAAGTACTGAGAGGAGCTTCAGGGCAAGTGAACTCTATTTTTAACCCTCGGTTCAGGAGGTGGGCTAGTTGCGAGGTACCATGCCCGATTTGGAAATAGAAAGTGAGAATCTTAGCCATCTTCAGGGAGGCGGGGACCACAGCACTGCTAAGATAGCTAAATAAAGCTGTTTCCCTTTGGACATCTGCTGTGTGAAGAACTATGAACTTGTTATAGATTGATTAATCTAGGAAACAGAACTATAACTCACACAGTTCTTTATATCTTTAGGCTTAACACATTGAGGATCGTAACAATTACTCCACAAATGTTGTCTTCAATTGGCAAAGCATGATCAAGACACATTTCTACAACTCACTATAATTAAACCAAGCAGATAACTTTTAAAAGCATTCTAAATAGCATGCTTTTTCCCAAGAGGGTAATGAGTTATTTCATGTGCCCTTCAAGCCATTCAACATACTAACTAGTACAAATTAGCAAATTCTGAATCCTGTAAATGTGTCTATATTTTATATACTGAAGAACTCTCATATTTCGTTTTCCCTCAAATGCATTACTCTCCCATACTGTATAAATTTTTCAATTAATTTTCTTACATTTTAGTGATACTTTTATTTATAAAGCACATGATATTAAAGTAAAACTTTTATCAGAAGGAACAAAATTATTTTTTAGCCTTTAACTAACTGATAATTATAAACATTATTTTTAAGTGTTCAGCTCCAAAGAAATGGAGAAGATCAGACAGCAAAATAATTGAGATGGATACACAGTTCACTATCAGAGCCAGAGAGCTACAGAACATCTATAAATGCATTATTCTAAAAAATCTCTCTCAAGATGAGAGGCTGGATGTACTGTTAACACTTAAACATACTGTGAAGGTATGTTACCTTTCTCTTACTTTTGGGTTATCCATATCACTATCAATAAAAACTTATATACTAAAATAAGCAAGATGTTTGTATTAGGTGATTACAAAGATGATTAATAAATGTTTATGTACATTTTATTTTGTCAACTATATTATTGTTTTGGTATAATTTGGGGAGGATATGATTTATGCATTTATATATCTAAAAGTTCTCAAGGTATATATTATGACATAAATGTAAATATACACAATGAATATTCTGAATGTAAATATATTTTATATATGCAGTAAAACAAATATATGCAAATATATTACATGGGATTAATACTCAGTCAATAAAACAGCAACTACTATCTATATATTTTGACAAAAATTTTATTTTTAGCAACTTTAAGCAGCATCAGTGTAAGCATTTTTGTCTTTTTTTCCTCAATTATTGATTTTCTATGTTTTAGTCCTGCTTTTAATGAAAATGAAGCAGCTGTCACAGGTCAGGTTACCAAGAAATGCTGGGATTTTGTGTGCAGGAAGTTGGAGAGTGCTCTTAGGAGTAACTCTTATGAGGAAATAGAGAAAGCAGATTGTTTCTCTTTTTTGGAAAAAAGAAAAATTAAACTCTGGTGCAGTCTCAGCAATGATTTCAGCCAGCCTCACAAGGACCTCTGGGACTGCAGACTTCTCAGTTGTCCTGAGTTGAGGCGGGGGCTGGAGTTTCACTCCCACACTGCCCATTTACCAAATGTGCCCCCCCCCCCCCCAGGAAAGAAGTGTGACATTGTTTTGTTTCATTTTCACTTTAATCTTATATTTGTAACTTAAGTGACTTTTTTCTGAACAGTTTAAAAAAACTGAAACACTCTATTACCATGATTCCAGGTTGTGAACATATCGGTGCACTGACTACGCATCACCAAAACAAGCACTCATGTCAAAGCAGTCAGTGTTTAAGAGTCTAGCGAACAAAGCCCTCAGGGAAGCTCACATTTGCTGTCCAGCCTGCGCATGGTTGGAGTCCAGTGAACCTCCCTCTGAACAGTCCGGGTTGGGCTTGAGTGATCAGGGTTTTGGGAATGTGTTAGTTTCCTGGGTACCTTGAGGTCTAACCCTCTCTGCTGGTCTTTTCCATCAGTGTCCAAGAAGGGAAGGGGATAGAGGGGAGGTGACGCTTTATAATGCTATTTACTGCACTCATCCTTAAATGTGACTTTGAATGAGGCATCTGTCTTTACCAGAAAGCAGTTCTCAGAAAGGGACTCTGTTGAGAGTGTCAGTCATCAGTAAACCAGTAGTGGGGGGAGGGGGGGGCATGGCCATTGCAGGTGTGAGCACAGCATACACTGCACATACTGCTGTTTGGACCCACTGGCTTCATGTTTTAAGTTTTGGGAGCAGCTCCTCTGCATTGGGGTAGGCCCTTTTTTCCTGGAGAAAATTGTAAGAGCAAGGTGGATGAAGTACCTACAGCTCCTATTGTCATTGTCCTTAAGGCTGTGACATATACACTTGTCCCTTTCCTCTGCTACCTATTTTAGATTTTCCCACCCTCAAGTGGCACCTTTACTGATCTAGGTAGCCTACCTGTTGGGGTGACCCACACCTTGAGAGATCTAGACTATAGATTACAATGTTCTTTTCAGACTGGGGCTACTAGACTTCCATTTATTGTCAGAATTAGGCAAGGGTGTACCAAGAAATGCCCATAACCTGGGTGCCAAAAATATTCTTCCTTGTCCCTATTAGATAATAACAGCCCTACTGCCTTTGAAAGACCAAGGTTGGTCACCTTTACAGACATGTAGCACTTTCCTTGTCCCAGGTCATTTGGCCTAAGGAACCCAGGCATTAGATGTAGTTTAACGTTTAATAGGACTCTTGCTGTGTCCACTGCTAGAAGCATTTTCCCTCCAGGAATTAAGACTTCTAACTTTCAAGAGTGCAGAGTTGCAGGAACAGAAAGCAAAAATTCCCCAAGTAGTAAGTGGAGCCAATTATACTTCCTCCCTCTTGGTTTACAGGGTAGAGCAATTTCAGGGGCTTCTACTTAGTCTTCCCTATCACATTAGCTCCAGAAGTCAAGAGAAAGGGTGGCCTTGGCAACTACCAAGCATTCCACTCCAATGATCTATTTAAGGATTAGGGAAATGAACACTGGGTGGGTCTCTGAACCCAGTGGACCCTTTGTGACCTGGACGTGGTAAGGATTCCTTTTATTTATTGATTGATTGATTTAGTTGTTGTTGGTGGTGGTGCTTTTTTTAAAGATTTTATTTATTTATTTATTTATTTTTAAAGAGGGAAGGGAAGGAGAGAGAGAGAGAGAAAAAGAGAGAGAGAGAGAGAAACATCAGTGTGTGGTTGCTGGGGGTCATGGCCTGCAACCCAGGCATGTACCCTGACTGGGAATCAAACCTGCAACACTTTGGTTCTCAGTCAGCGCTCAATCCACTGAGCTATGCCAGCCAGGGTATTTAGTTGTTTTTATTCCCACATACCTTCATTCAGGGTGCTGGGCCTTTATTCCCCCACACTGATTAGTCATTTCTTTCAGGGTATTCTAGGAAAGAAAGCATGACCTTGAATGAGGAAGTTCTTTTAAATTGATGGCAGCTACTTATCAGCCAGTAGGGCTTTCTTTAGCTGAAGGCAATCTGGAGAGAGGCTCAGCTGAGAGTTGCCAGCCGCCAGCTCTATCAGCAGCTGGGAGACTGAGTGCTTTGGTTCTGCAGTGGGGGTAATCCAGATAGCACATCATAGCATTCACTATAATGAATGTCTTCTGTATCCCTAATTAAAGGAGGAAAATCCAAGTATCATTAGGACCACTGGTATAGCTCTGATATCTTATAGCTCAAATTGAAGGCAATATTGGACATATGTTATTGTCAATATAGGTAAGTTAAGTGGGCAATTCAGCTAAAAATATTTGGCTTCTAAAAAATATTTTGAGTTCACTAAATTTAGACACTTGCCAGATGCCACTTTCAGTTTATGGCATAAAGATATAAGTTGTCTCTGAATTATTGTCTGTGATAACTGTTATCAAGTTTGCACATAGGCAGTAGATTGGGTAACTGCATGGTGCATCTATTTTGGTCATCAGTAGGAGCCACATTGCTAGAGCATATAGATACAGCTATCCAAATGATAATCAGCAGCTCACTGTAAATAACAACTGAAAAATTGTCAGTCATATATAGATCTATCTATGAGAATCTTATGATTACAATCTGGGAATTTCATGAGTGTAACTCTTAGATACCTCATGTGGGTTCTTTGCTTCATAATTGCATAGAACTCTCATTCTCTTAAGAAACAAGAGCAAAACACATGAAGTTTTAAGAAGTAAATGAGTACAATGGTTCTTGTTGGGAGACAAGCCACCATAGGTCTCTTGCATTTCTGCCCATCTTGAGAGCAGAGACATTGAGTGCCTTTGTCCTGGACTACCCTTCCAAATATGTTTGTGTAGTGACTAGTGTTGGAATATGGAGATGGTTAGGAAGTGAGGGAGAACAGAAGATCCAGAGATGGAACATAAGCATGATATCTATAGAGAGCAGTAAAAAGACCACTTGGAAAAAAGAGAGTGCAGGCAGGGAATGTGGTAGGAATATTCTGATCTGACATAATCATGACCATTATCTGGTTATTTAAAAGGCCAAAGGTGGCTCATAAAAGATAAATTGTGCATCTCCTAAACAGTATATTTAAGCAGTTAATCCACATGTATTCACTTATGGCTGTGCAACCTTAAATAAGTAATTTAATATTTCTGAAAATCAGTTTCAATTAATTTATAAAATTAGTTGCTTTGAGGATATAAATATGTGTGCATACATATGCAATATCAAATAAAAATATCTATATGTCTCAGTGCTTACAAATAGGGAGCCCTTAATAAATAACAGGTATTATTTTGATGACAATTACTAATAAAGACCAGTGAATTTTAAACCTGAGTACACATTCAAATTATCTGGAGTGCTTAAAAAAGAGAGAGTCAAAGAGAATGACAGACAGACAAACCCACACACATACAGATAAATTATGAGAATAAATGATTAGGAATAGTATCTAGGCCCCACTTCAGAGCAGTTAGATTAGATGCTCAAGTGTGAGAGTGATGCTAAAATCTCCCCAGGTGCTTCTAATGTGCCTTCAGGGTCAAGGACCATTGATGCAGACTCATGTATTAGCTATGCCAAATATATGTTAAGAAGTACAGAAGAGTATTATTTTATTGTTACTGACTTTACCTTTTGACTCATTCACACTATGTTTCTCATGGTCCTCTATCGGGCACTGGAACAATTTACTTCTATTTGACTACTTATAAATCCTTCTACCTTAATCACTTAACTCTTACCTGGGTGTTCTAACTCAAACACACTCATTTCCATTACTTTATTAAAATTATTGTGAATTATAGTAACATACAGATAATTTGCATGATTTTGTGCCTTCATTCTTCTGCTTGACATTACTTTGTAAGATTGAAACTGTTATTGAAACTGTAGTTCATTTATTTCCTTACATTAGATAATATTCTGGTATATGAATAAGCTATCACTTATTTATGTTACCAATTTATTTATGGCTATTTGGTTGTTTCTAATTTGGGGCTACTGTGAACAATGACTCAAACTGCATGTTTCTCTAAGCACATAAGAGTAGAATTTCTGGGTTATAGATTATGCATATATTAAACTCTACTAGATACTGTCATTTTTTTCCAAATTAGTTGTGGCAATTTATACTTCTATCAGTGATGTTTCATTTCTTCTAGGCTCAAGTTTCATTTCTTTGTGCGGTAATTTCAAAAACGGACTGACTTTTAGAATTCTATACTGAATATTTTGTGTCTTATATAGGAACATGAATGTAAACTGACCCAGGAAATTCTAGAATTGATTGACAGAGAGGTTGACCTTATGATGAGAGGCGTCAAACAAGAAAACCTTGAGGGACTCAGAAAAAGAATTGCAACTCTGTTTTTTCATTACATCAAAACTCCTCTGTTTAATCCAGAAGTTTCAAGACACCTTAAGGTACTCTATTTTTTCCCTATATTTCTTTCTCAAAATTTTAATATGTGCTATTATAAATAGAAGTATATTCAAATTTTGCTTTAACATTTCACTCGGGGTCCATGAGGAAGCCCATCTTATTGTGAAGTTTCTTTTGAGTGATTATTTTTTATGTTGATGTATTAAACTTATTTATTTAACTTCTTCTGAGTCTGCATTTCCAACCTTCAGTTCTTTTGTAATCTCTGAACCCAGTTTCCACTTGACTAATGCTCTATGTTGAATGTATTGTGATCTCTCACACCTTCATGCTTTTGCATGTATTGGTGCTTTCCCCTGGAATGCTGTCCCCACCCTTCATCCAGCCAACTCCTGTTCATTTTCTAAGACCTGATTCACATAGCCTCTCCTTCATGAGGCCTCAGAGATCCTGGATCTCTGAGATTCTACATGCTCTTGTTTGTGTCCCCTTAGAATACTTATCACATAGTTTTAATCATTACTACACAAATCCATGTAGCTATCCTGAGAGAAATTCAAATGTAACACATATTTGAATTAAACTATCTTTTTAAACTCTACCATGTTTAGACTTCAATAGGGATTTTGCTCTCTGTCCTTATTGTGTTTTTTTAATTGTTGTTTTATTACAGTTGTACCAATTTTCCCTTGTTACTCTTTCCTGCCCTGCCCCCCCACTCAATTCCCACCCTGTTGTCCACATTCATGGGTCATTTATACTGGTTCTTTAACTAGACCCTTCCCCTTCTTTCCTCCCTTGTACCCCTCCTCCCACATCTCTGGTCCCTGTCAGTTTGTTCCTTGTTTCCATGCCTCTGGTTCTGTTTTGCTCATTTCTTTGCTTTGTTCATTAAGTTCCATTTACAGGTTATATCACAGGGTATTTGTCTTTCGCCACCTGGCTTATTTACTTAACATAATGCTCTCCATTTCCACACATGCTGTCACGAAAGGTAGGAGTTCTTTCTTTCTGCTTCATAGTATTCCCTTGTGTAAATATACCACAGTTTTTGATCTACACATTTACTTATGGGCACTTAGGCTGTTTCCAGCACTTGGCTATTGTAAATAACACTGCTATGAACATAGGGGTGCATCAGTTCTTTTGAATTGGTGTTTCAGGATCTTAGGGTATAATCCCAGAAGTGGAATCACTGGGTCAAAAGGCAGGTCCATTTTTAGTTTTATGAGGAAATTCTACACTGTATTCCACAGTGGCTGCACCAGTCTGTATTCTCACCAACAGTGCACTAGGATTCCCTTTTTTCTACATCCTCACAGGCACTTGTTGTTTGTTGATTTGTTAATAATGGCCATTCTGACTGGTGTGAACTGGTATCTCATTATGGTTTTAATTTGCATCTCTCGGATGGCTGGTGATATTGAGCATTTTTTCATGGGTCTATCAGCCCTTTGTATGTCTTACTTGGAGAAGTGCCTATTCAGGTCCTTTGCCCATTTTTTAATTGGATTGTTTTGTCTTCCTGGTGTGGAGTTGTGTGAGTTCTTTATATATTTTGGAGATCAATCCCTTGTCTGAGATACTGTTGGCAAAAGTTTCCTCATACAGTTGGCTACCATTTCATTTTGATGATGTTTTCTTTAGCCATGCAGAAGCTTTTTAATTTGATGTAGTCCCATTTGTTTACTCTTTCATTTATTTCCCTTGCCCCAGCAGTCATATTGGTGAAAATATTGCTGTGTGGGATATCTGAAAGTTTCCTGCCTATATTCTCCTCTAGGACTTTTATGGTGTCACAGCTTATGTTTAAGTCTTTTATCCATCTTGAGTTTATTCTGGTGTGTGGTGTAAATTGGTGGCCTAGTTTCATTTTTTTGCATGTAGCTGTCCAGCTCTCCCAATACCATTTGTTGAAGAGGTTTTTTTACTTCATTTTATGCTTCTACCTCCTTTGTCAAGTATTAATTGACCATAAAGACATGGGTTTATTTCTGGGCTCTCTATTCTGTTCCATTGGTCTATGTGTCTGTTCTAATGCCAGTACCCGACTGTTTTGATTACAGTGATCTTGTAGTATAGTTTGATATCAGGTATTGTGATCCCACCTACTTTGTTCTTATTTCTCAAAACTGCTGAAGCTATTGGGGTCATTTTTAGTTCCATATAAATTTTTGCAATATTTGTTCTAACTCTGTGAAATATGTCATTGGTATTTAGGGATTGCATTGAATTTATGGATTGCTTTGGATAGTATGGGCATTTTAATGATGTTGATTCTTCCAACCCATGAACATGGTATATACTTCTTTTTGTTTGTGTCTTCCTTGATTTCTTTCATCAGTGTTCTGTGGTTTTCTGAGTGCAGGACTTTTACCTCCTTGGCTAAGTTTAGGTACTTTATTTTTCTTGTTGCTATAGTAAATGGATTTTTTTCTCCTAGTTTCTGATATTTCATTGTTGGTGTACAAAAATGCTGTCAGTTTCTGAGTATTGAGTTAGTATCCTGCTCTTTTGCCAAATTCTCTTACCATGTATAACACAAACCCACGTATTTGACCCAGACTTGCAGGAAAAAAAAATCTTTCATTTTAATTTTTAAATTTAATTAATTATTTATTTATATTTAGATACTTGTTTTCTGTATTAAAAATAATTTTAGCATTTATTTGTAAATATATTATGGTACAAGAAATTTTATGTAACAAATAATTATAAAAGACAAGAACAGATGCAAGGTATTTAAGGTACTACCCATATATAATGCACATCCTTATTTTTCCCTCAAAAATTTGGGCAAAAAAGTGCACATTACAGGAAAATATGGTATTAGGTTGAGTAGCTTTTTGGTGGAATCTATAGGGTTTTCTGTGTATACTAGTATGTCATCTACAAATAATGACAGTTATACTTACTCCTTTCCAATTTGGATGCCTTTTATTGCTTTTATTTTTCTGATCACTGTGGCTAGAACTTCCAATACTTATACTTCCAATACTTCCAGTGTTGAATAAAAGTGGTGAAAGTGGACATCCTTCTCTTGTTTCTGACCTTAGGGGTAAAACTTTTAGTTTTTGCCCATTGAATATGATGTTGCCTGCAGGTTTCTCTTATATAGCCTTTATTATTTTGAGGTATGCTCCCTCTATTCCCTCTTTGCTGAGTGTTTTTATCATAAATGAGTGCTGTACTTTATCAAATGCTTTTTCAGTATCTATTGATATGATCATGTGATTTTGTCTTTCATTTTGTTTATGTGGTATATTGTGTTTATTGATGTGTAAATGTTATACTATCCTTGCATCCTTGAGATGAATCCCACTTGATTATGATGTATGATCTTTTAATGTATTGCTGTCCAGTTCGCCAATATTTTGTTGAGGATTTTGGCATCTGTGTTCATCAGTGACATTGGTCTATCATTGTTTTTCATTGTTGTGTCTTTACCTGGTTTTAGAATTAAGATAATACTGGCCTCATAGAGCTTGGGAATCTTCCCTCTTCCTGAAATTTTTGAAATAGTTTGAAAAGGATAGCAATGAGCTCTTCCTTAAATGTTTTGTAAAATTCACCTGTGAACTTGTCCAGTCCGGGGCTTTTATGTGCCAGAAGTTTTTTGATTATTATTTCAATTTCACAAATTGTTATTTGTCTATTCAGGCATTCTGCTTCTTTTTGATTCAGTTTTGGAAGATTATATGTTTCTAGAAATTTGTCCATTTCACCCCTGTTTTCAAATTTCTTAGCATGTAGTTCGTAGTAATTTCTTCCAAACCTTTCTATTTCTGTAGTATCAGTTTTAATATCTCATTTTTCATATCTGATTTTATTTGGGTTCTCTCTCTTTTTTTCTTGATGAGTCTACTTAAAGGCTTGTCAATTTTGTTTATCTTTTCAAAGAACCAGCTCCTGTATTTATTGATCTTTTGAATTGTTCTTTTAGTCTGTCATTTAATTCTGCTCTAATCTTGATTACTTCCTTCCCTTCTACTAGCTCTTGGCTTTGTTTATTGTTCCTCCAATTCCTGTAGATGTGGGTTTAGGCTGTTTATTTGAAATGTTTCTGTCTTTTTTAGGTAGGCCTGTATTGCTATAAACTTCCCTCTCAGGACTGCCTTTGTTGTGTGCCATAGGTTTTGAACTGTTGTGTGTTCATTTTCATTTGTTTCCAAAAACTTTTTGATTTCTTCCTTGATCTTATTGTTAACCCATTCATTGTTTAATATCATGCTATTCAGTCTCTATGAATTGGAGTGTTTTTGAGTTTTTTCCTTGAGCTTGGTTTCTAATTTCAAGCCATTGTGATCTGAGAAGATGCTTGATAGGATTTCAATTTCCTTGATTTCGTTTAGGATTGTTTTGTGATCTACCATGTGGTCTATCTAATTATGTTCCATGTGCATTTGAAAAGAATGTATATTTTGCTTCCATGAGGTGAAAGGTTCTGTATATCTCTATTAAGTCTATTTGATCTAGTGCGTCATTCATTGCCAGAATATCTGTGTTGATTCTTTGCTAAGTAGATCCATCCATTGTTGACAATGGATGTTAAAATCTACTTTTCATAAGTAGATCCATCCATTGTTGACAATGGATGTTAAAATCTCCTACTGTTAGTGTGTTGCTGTCAGTATCTTTCTTGAAGTCCTCCAAGATTTTCTTTATATATTTTGGTATTCCTATGTTGGGTACATAAATGTTTACAAGGGTATATCTTCTTGATAGTTTGTTCCTTTAAGTATTATATAGTGTCCTCCTTTGTCTCTTTATGGCTTTTGTTTTGATTTTGTCTGATGTAAGTATTGCTGCCCTAGCTTTTATTTTCATGTGTTTCCTTGAAATATTTTTTCTATCCCTTCACTTTCAGTCTGTATAGATCTTTTGTCCTGAGGTGACTCTCTTGTTGGCAGCATATATGGGGGTCATGTTTTCTTATCCATTCAGCTGTCCTGTGTCTTTTGATTGGAGTATTTAATCCATATACATTTAAGGTTATTATTGATAGGTAGTTATTCATTGCCATTTTTCCCTTTGTACTTGT